CGCATATCCGCCTGTGGCTCAGCCACTGCGAGGTAGGCCTATGGGCAGGTACTCGCATAAAACACTTTCAGATACTGTCCATAGAAGGTCTTCTCGTATAGAAGCTATTTGAGAGAAACTACAGAAGGTATTCTATTCATAGAAAACCGACAGGTGGTCATTTGTCAATGAGAGACCTGTATGTTCATGGAAGACCTCTTATGCCTGTAGACGGTCAGGAAGGTATTTTGCTCCTGCAGAAAGTATGTTTATGGAAAATATGTTTGGCAGTCGCACCTCTTGATTCAAATACAAATTTTATACATTTTCCAAAATCTTATGTGCTTTATATTGAACAACTTTTTCATGGCTCTTAAAAATCACCCTATATTATATCGGAATAAAATTTAATGTTTTTATTAATTAGTTTTTTTTTCTCCCACCCCGATTTGATATCAAACTTTCTTCACACATTTCCTTTTGTTTTGGGTTGGGGAAATGGGTGGTAATCCGGAAAAAAATATGTTAATTGAAAAGCAAATGTTCAGCCTGAAATTAATTTGTGAATAAACTAACTCAATGTGCAAAAAAAAAAATAATACATTTCAATAAAAAAATATCTGAATTTATGACCTTCAATTCGATTTTTTTCTTTTGCGTTTAATGATTATTTTGACCTCAAAAAAAAAAAAAAAAAAAAAAAAATATTTAACAAAAAAATCAATTGGTTGGTACCGCCATTGACCCCTCTACCGTGTTTGCTAAATTTCATCGAGGTGAATTGCGAACGTAAATGATGACCTCCAGAAGGGACAGACGTGGATTTGGATACATTTCATTAATGAAATGTGGGACATCTCAGCACTTTGTAATGTAACATGGTGTATCTAAAGAATGGTGAGTGTGTTGATGTTTGTGTGGAGCAGAGGCGGAGTGCTCCATCTATTTCATTCATCGACCCTTATGTGGGCTGACGATCGAGCACTTTGCCCCAGTCGGATCGAGGTGCTGTTGTTTTTTTTTTGGGTGGGGAGGGGGTTTCTATTTTCTGTTGTTTTTATTTGCCATTTTAAATTGCCTCAAACATTTAGCCTGGTGTAAAATTTGGACAGCCCAAATAAAATATGTGTGTGTATGTATGTCAGGTATGTAAGAATGTGTTTTTTGGTTGTTCTGGGGGGCTTTTCACATTTTTGTTGTTGTTGTTTCCTATTCGCTGACTGTTCGCATTAATGATGCATTAAGTTTTTCCCCAAAATTATTTTGGAAAATAATTTTCAAATTGTTTTTCACATGGACTGGAAAATGTGTTGTATTTCTTTTTGGTGTGTGGTGGTGTTGTTGTTGTTTCTTTTCCATATTTATTGAATTGTGTGTATTTTTGTTTTTGTTGTTGTGTTTTGAGGGAAAACGTGCTTTTTCCCTGAAATTACTTTTGCAAGAGTTCTGCGTCTCGGCATGTTTGGACGATGATGCTGATGATGAGGTTTGCGAGGCTGACGGCTGCTCCTACAACAACTGACGTTTGGAACGTAATATTTATTTACGTTTCATTCTGCATGAGCCATGAGCCGTTTTATATGGACCATATTGTTTCGCTCGGCCGCTCGGTCGGACGGACTACAGCAAGAATGATCACATTCTTGACTTAAGTATTTTTTCACACTTTGGAAAAAAATTGTTTGTGTATGTATTTACATATGTACATAATATATATGTATGTGTGTAATTTTTTCTTGGCCAGTTGTAAGGCAGGTATAATGAAATGGGTATTGTATCGAAATGATTCAATAATACATTTGAGTATCAAATCTACAATCGTCAAGTCATGAGTTAATATTCAATAAAATTTTACCATCGTCACATTTTAAGTCCATGAAGCTTGATAGTAGTACGTTTACATTTAAACGGATTTCGTTAACCCAGTGGGTTTCAATTGTCAATTCCTTTGCATATATGTCAAATAAATCCTCATAAAGTAGGTTAACCCGGTAAAAAGTTCTAATGTATATGCAGTTTAGGGCTCGTACAGGTTAAGCCAACTTTTTTACATTTTTCACCGGTATTTATGTTAGTCATGGGCTTGATTAGTTTTTGTGTTAGTTCCGTAATCATTTCTCTGCTGTAGCTCATCCTAAGTGACGGGGCCGACATCTATCGTTGGCTAGAAACAATGCATCCTTGAATTGTTGCAGTGGTTGGGATCCTTGCTTATTAGGTGTTGCAATTTTCCCTTTGAGTGGAACTACATCCTCATATTCCTATTTCGAGTTAATGCCGAGGTTATTATTAGAATATCAGGAGACTTCGAATGCACTTCCTCTACAGTGGGATGTAAGCCTGTTTTTACAAATACTGAAACATTTTCCCTCCTTCGTTGGGATTTGAACCCAAGTGCCATCGGTTTGTAGTCTGACCCACTGTCCACTGCACTACTCTACACCAATATAATACCCTGGGCCTGGGAATTTCCTCGGACTTAAATCATTCTTCAAATCGCAACGTCATTCCCTCAGATATAATACAATTGTTTCCAATCTTCGAAACACTTCGGAAACGCGTTTTTTGTGTAGCCAATAGCTTCTGTCCGATTTTTCCTTTATCTTCTCAATGGTAACAAAACTTTTTTCTTTCATCGATATTTTCAGCTTTGGGAAGAGATCACGAAGATATATTCTGACTAGCGTGGATGGGGCCTATTTCAGAAGAGTTCCCAACGATAACACGCATGGATATGGTTGTAGTCCTAGCTGGGCACTTGAAGAGGTCCAATGTCGGATGGTCCTTGTCCTCATGCTGGACATGTGTTAAATATCCAACTATGAATTCGTCCCCAATAGGAAATGAGGAGGTTGTGCCACCCTGATCTTAGCTGTGTTAAAACTACTCGTATCTGTCTAGGCAGTTGCTTCTCCTCGGTATTGTTCTGCTGACTGGGCGACTGCATCTGTATGAATGCTATTCAGAACTGTCTGATAGGAATGTTGATCTAGGGGTTCAGTTCTCTCTCTGTCTCTATTCCCAACGGCAACACTCAAGCAGATACTGCATCTACAACATGTGTGCGGATGTGCATTCTGTTCTGCTTCATACCTCTACTAATATATGTGGAAATCCATTTTGGTATATACGGAATCCATTTTGGTATTGGAGTGCCTTGTACTGGGTGATGGGGCTGCCATCTATCGTTGTCTAGAATTGTCCATTGAATTGTGTATAGTGGTTGAAGTCCGTGCTTATTTAATTTTGCCATTTCCCTCTGAGTAGCGCTATTTTTTGTTATTATCTATGACTAAAGTCATATTCGCATGTGTTGATGCCGAAGATGGTTATTAAAGAATGTCATTGGGCTTGGGATACATTTCATCTGCAGGTCGATCTATTATGCCGATGTAAGCGTCTATTTTCAAAATAAAAAACACTCTGTAATGATTCGAAAAAAAATCTTCAACATATGATCATCATCAAATAAATTCGGTCTTTTAAAGGTCATATTCTCATTTCCAACCGTAATGTTTTCGGATGATAACATATTTCCTCCGGACAACTTTCAATATTTTCAGATCCATGTTTTAAAATTTGCTTCTCCTGCTACTACTCCTGATAGGAGTAGCGTAGAGCTTCCACAATTATCGCTCGTTTATCATGTCATTGTTTGTGTCTAGCTATGTTCTGCTGTAGTCTATGAGAGGGGACTGCCATCTATCTGTGCCTAGATACAACACCTCCTAGAATTGTGTGCATTGGTTGGTGTACTAGCTTTTTTATTGTAGTAATTTTCCTTTGGGTGGCACCATCTCCTGGCATTATTATTGCGTGCTGTTCTCATATGTCGATGTTGATGCCGAGATCTTTGATTATTAGAATGTCAGGAAGATTTGGATGCATTTCATTTGGATAGGGGTGAAAGCTTCTTTTTACAAATATTCAAAAATCAACTTGAACGAGTTTGTCTTTCTCCGCTGGGATTTGAGAATATTTTTCATATATAAATTCGAAATTTAAAATTCGGTATTCATTTATTCAACATAATAGGTTGTACTTTGTCATTTAAGATACTCAGAGGATAACAGACCTGTTCCAGACAATTTGCAATATTTTGAACATTTTTTCTCCGGCTACCCCTAATGGGAGCATATGTCTTCCACCAAACATCCATCATCTTACTCAATTAGACCTTCTCAATCCGGCTATGTAGATGATAGATCGGCTATAGCCTGTCCTAGGAATGGGTCTGCCATCTGTAGTTGCCTAGAAACAACGACTTATTCGGTTATGGGCAGTGGCTGGAGTCCTTGCTAATTTTGTGTTGTAATATTCCTTTTTGGTTGCTCTATCTAATCTAATACGGCTAAGTAGATGATAGATCGGCTATAGTCTGTCCTAAGGATGGGATTGCCATCTGTAGTTACCTAGAAACAACGACTTCTTGGGTTTTGTGCAGTGGTTTGAGTCATCGCTTGTTTTGTGTTCCTTTTTTGGTGGCTCTATCTCCTCATGTTCCTTGGTTGTTAGAATCTCAGGGGGCTTCGCATGTTAGTCTCCTTTTACAAAAGAACGAAAATCATTCTTCAAAAATTTGTGGTTGGGGTCCCGCCTTATTTAGTGTTGTGATTTTCCGCCAATTTCGCTTTGTCGATCTTAGGATCAATGGCATTTAGTCAGTTACTTCGAGACTCTTCCGACTGCTTATTTAATTCCCAGCTGCTCAATGAAAATTATTGGGATTTCGACTATCCGCAACCTGAGGACTCGTCCGGTACGCGTCAAAGCGCACGCAACTTATGGGGGAGTCTTGCAAGGATGCGATGCTCCTAAATATGTTTAACCACCGCCGTTTGACCCGATATACCTACCGCGATGATTGATAACACGCCATCCAAGTTTCAAATTGTCTGCTAAGAATCGAAAATTAACTTCGATTATTTTTTATTTCTTTAATTCAAAATGTTATATTTTACTCTTCTCCCTTTTCTTTCAGTTTCCATGCCTTAATCTCGATATATGAAAAACTTCCCAATATGGATAAACCACATGCGGATAAATCACAGCTCAATACACCGACATCTACGACGGCGACAACGCCCACATCACGACCATCATCGCGACGTACCTCAACAATCATTCCTCGTGAATCGCTGCCAACGCCACCGCCAGATCCTCGGGGTGGTGCAAATCAAAGCGATAACGTCTTTGTCTATCCAACACCGAGTGAGAAAAATTTATCGGCCGAATTGCAGGGTCTATTGCGTTACGCTGAACGTCAAGAAGAATTCCAACAGTCATTAAATAGGAAAATTGCCAATGATTGTCGGACATTGCATCACAGCGATGAGGCTTCAACACAGGTGGGTGGTACTGCTGCGGCGGGTGGTGTTGGAGATTCTGGTGATAAACACACCTGTAGTTGTTGTGAAAAACTTAGCAAAGAATGTGCCGAATTTATGGAACCATTGCATTTTCGTTTGAATGGTGCGGTGACTGCGGCATTGGCCGCCTATGGAGTCATTGAACAACTGAATCATCTCTATTCGATGTGGGAACAGTACATTACCAAAGAAAGGGAATTGCGTGAACGTAAGGAGTGTTTGCGTTATGTCAAGTTGTTGGAGAGAAAAGTGGGTATATAAAAAATCTCATGAAAAAAATTAACATTTTCCCTTTTCTATTACAGCGTGCGGAAGCCAGTAGGGCGAGAGAAAAACCACAACCCTTAGCCGGCAGTCCGTTATCCGACAATGAGGTGGATCATCAGGATATGGAACAATCGATAGCCTTATTGGAAACCATTTTGAGTCCAGATGTTTTGGCACGTTATAAAACCCAGGATGCTAAATTGTAAGTACTAAGGGCAGGGGGAGGTTGGAAATATAATTAATGTTCGGACCTCTCTGGCAGACAACGTGAACGCAGCAAATCCTTTATGATCGAAGATATGCCCAGTATTCGTGCTGACCGCGAGGCTTCCAAAAGTCATGGCGGCATACCTCAGCTGCTACGTCGCCAAAGCACCTATTGCGATAGCAAATCCAAGGTCTCTAAATGGACTAAAGTCAAGGCGGCCTTTAAGTGGGAAAAAGCCAATGTCCCGATAATGTACGAGACAAGTCGTGATGGTAGCCATGTTGGCCTGCAGCCGAACAACAATGAAGTAGCCAGGTGGGATATTGAAATTTATAGCGACTGCTGCTAACAATTGGACGTTATAAAGACCTTTGGTCTCTAAACCGACCAACCGGTCTATATAAACCGACCAATTGGTCTCTATAAATACGTGTTTTCTTCAGACCGACCATTTGATCTATATAAAGACCTTTGGGCTTTATACCGACAAATTGGTCTGAATGAGACCTGTGGTCTCTATACGGACCAAATGTTCTCTATAAAGACCGGTGGGCTCTATACGAACCAATTTGTCTTTGTAAAGACCTATGGTCTCTATACGAACCAATTAGTCTTTATAAAGACCTATGGTCTCTATACCGACCAAGACCGGTGGTCTCTATACCGACCAATTACTCTCTATAAAGACCGGTGGTCTCTATACGAACCTGTGGTCTCTATACGAACCTGTGGTCTCTATACGAACCAATTGGTCCCTATAGAGACCTGCGGTCTCTATACGTGCATTTAGTCTCTATACGGATCAGTTGGTCTCCTTCAACCCTTTTATATGTACAAATCCACGTTATTAAATCTATAACCAAGCGTCCTTGTGCAGATAAAAAAATGTGTTCGGAATACCTTCCCGAATTCATTCACACTTCATTCAGTGTTTTCTGCTGATTTTTGTTGTTATTGTTGTTCTTCATTCCATTGCAGATATTTACGTGTACCCTCCGTACCCTGCGGCAACAGTTCAGCTGACAGCATCTTAAGTTCATCATCTGGTCATTTGTTAAGCGAAACAGGCACGCCGGGTACCATCAGCTCAGCCAGTTCAATGGACGATATTGATAACACCGGCGGCAGTCCAATGAGTATTTATTTATTTTTGTTGTTATTGTTGTTGTCATTTTTTAAACACTGACCATACATTCGAATTTTGTTTTGTTCTTTAGGAAGAGATTCATCGAAAAGTGAAACATTGGAAACATCCACCGAGCGTTCAATGTCTCAGCCTACGGTACAGGAATCCAAATCGGCCGATACTTTAATTGTCGATGACATCAAATATACAATGCCACCCAAGTCATCATCGAATAAGTCAATACGACGCAGTAAAATGGTATCGGATTTTGAGGTTGTACCCGAAGATGTTGAGGCGGTCATTAAAACACAAACGAAACGTAAAAATCCACCACGACCTTTAGATCTTAATTTGAGACAGGTGAGTCATGAGGGTCACTGGGATGACATGTATGAAAAAAAATAATAAAATTACAACTTCGCTAATGTTGGGCGCCATTTTATTTCACTAAATAATTTGTTTGCTTTCCCCTTCTTTCCCTTTCACCCCTTACTTCTCATCTCACATCTCATTTTATTATTTGTGTGCTTTTTTATCCAGGATCTAAATGACTCGGAAAATTATTTTGCCTCATCCCAATTGCTAAAAGCCAGTCCTCAGGAGGGTACTCAGTCTCTAAATCGGGCTCTGAAGAAAGTTAGTTCCCCGGTAAATTCATCAGTGCCATCCAGCCCTTCCAGACATTCGGATTTCTTTGCTGAATTTGGTTGGTATCCTTACTCTATATGGCTCCATATGCTAATTATTATTCACACCTCTCTCACCCTCTTTCCTTACCTTGCCACAGAAAGTGAAGAGCTATCAAGTGGTGATTTCTCTGAACCCAATTCACCAAATCACACAACATCACGTCAAAGTTTTGAACTGCAGCAAGAGGAAATCAATCGCCGATATCAAATATTACGTGCCAAACTGGATCAAGAATTCGAAATGAAACGCAAGGAATGGGAGAAGCTACAATCGAAAAGAGGTAGGTCACACCTTACTCCCTTTTTTGTATAAATATGTATGTATAAATATTCCCTTGTTTAGCGGTAGCTTTAGTTTCGGCACCCAAACCTCCAGAACCCCTATCCCCAACAACCCATTCACCAAATATGGCCAGTAATTTTTCGGCCAAAATGTTGGAGGAAAATCTTACACCCGATTTTAAGAAGAAATTACAAAAATGGCGTGTCAAGAAACAGGCTTCGATTGGTGGTATACATGGTCCACCGGTATCGCCCATTTCACCCAAGGACACCGCTGCCGCCAGTTCATGTACAAATGTACCCAAGGATGCCAAGATTGATTGGAATCTCTGGAAAACGGGACAATTGAAATTGGAGGGTCAGGGTTTAAAACCATTACCGGATCAAAAAGATTTGCCGGAGGAGTTTCAAAAGAAATTGGGTAAGTTGGAGACTATTTTTTTGTTTATCCCAATTGAGATTCTCAATTCTTCTCTTTTTTGTTTTTTTTTTTTTCAGAGGAATGGAATAAAATCAAACGTGGCGGTTCTGCCTCTAACTGCACCGATTCCCTTAAGCGCCACAAACATGGTGGCTCAGGCAAGAAAGGTGAATCGGATGACGATCGTGGTGGCGGTGGTGTCAGCAGTGATAAAGATAAACGCACCGATAAACACAAACATCACGATAAGGAGAAATCGGAAAGGTAGGTAGTAGCTAGAGAAAAAGATCTGCACAGAAGTCCTACATCGAAGACTAACTATAGTAAACCTGTAGTTGGTTATATTCTGCCTTCCTCTGGGATTTTTATATCAGATCTATTAATTTCAATTGATTTTTACACGATTTGTGGAAGACCTGTATTTGCTCAGTAAACCTCTAAAATCGGTCTAAAGAATATCTGCAGAATGTACTTTACCTATCGAAGATCTCTAGTCTCGAGAAGATGTCTACAGAATACCTCCATATTGGGCGCCACTTTTTTGTGTTCATTTAAATATTTGTAAAAATCTAATTCCATTAATTTTAGGCCTTTAAAATCTGTCTATAGAAGACATCATTTATAGCCCTTTAGAGGTTGTCTATAAAGGGCCACTATGTTGGGCGCCACTTTTTTGTGTTAATTTAAATATTTGCAAGGAGTTGATTCCACTAATTGCAGGCCTTTAAAATCTGTCTATAGAAGACATCAGTTCTAGAGGCCTGTAGAAGCTATTTAAGGAATAACTCCACGTTGTGCGCCACTTTTTGTGTTAATTAAAATTATATAATTCCACTAAAGATATAATTCCACTAAGTTTAGGACTTTAAAACTTGTCTAAAGAAGACATCATTTACAGACCTCTAGAAGCTGTCTATACAAAACATCTATGTTGGGCGCCACTTTTTGGTATACATTTTAATATTGGTAAGGAGCTGATTCCACTACTTTTAGGCCTTTAAAATCTGTCTATAGAAGACATAATTTATAGGTCTCTAGAAGCTGTCTATGAAATAACTCCACGTTGGGCACCACTTTTTTGTGTTAATTTCAATATTTGTAAGGGGATAGAAGATATAATTTCTTATGTTTATGTTCGGCGCTGAGCTGATTTCACTAATTTAAGGGATTATAAATCTGTCTATAGAAGATATCGTTGCTAGGTGCCTAGAAGCTGTCTATAGAATATATCATTGCTAGGCCTCTAGAAGCTTTCTATAGAAGACCTGTATGTTGGGCGCCACTTTAAATATTTAGAAGGAGCTGATTCCACAAATTATAGGGTTTTAAAATCTGTCTATAAGACGACATTATTTATATGTCTCTAAAAGCTGCCTAGACCTGCAGATCGCCAATTTAATTTATAGGCATCTAAAACTGTCTATAGATTTCCTCCATGTTGGGCGCCACTTTTTTGTATTCATTTACATATTTGTAAGAAGCTGATTCCACTAATTTTAGGCCTTTAAAATCTGTCTATAGAAGACCTCCATGTTGGGCGTTACTTTTTTGTGGTCCTTTACATATTTGGAAGGAGTTGCTTTTACTCCTTATGATGCCTATATGAATGTTTCAGTCTATTAAAATTCTTTGGTAGATCTTCTGTTTATATTTTACCAATAGGAGACCGCCTATCTACACATGACCTTTGGTCAATCTTAAATCTCAAGAACTACTCTATAAGGACTATTTAAGGTCTATGGAGGGATTTTTATGCCTATAAAGAACTCTAAAAGAATTGTATTAATATTACATAGACGACCTCAGGCCATCACTTTTAATTAAGGTGTACAATATATAGCAGATTTTTCATAGCAAATCGTATGTCTATAAAAATCTTTGAAGAGGTGTTTTGAGAAGACGTCCATCTGTAGTTCTTGGGAAGGACTTCTTTTATAGAAGACCACAAGGAGAGGGATTTCTATCCTTTCAGAGAACTTCCAACTATAGAATCTTCTAGAAGCTTTTCCGGCGCCTTCTGTCCAAAAACAACATTGAAAAGGTCATTTGACTACAAAATACTTTCTCTTGATAGAAAATCACTATGTGGTATTCTACTGAAGATCTTTTAAGTATAGAAGACCTCAAGAAGCTATGTTGCCTATAGAAGACCTCTACGAGCTTTTCTGACTATAACATCAACCTACAAGCGCTCTTGAATATAGAGTAAATTTAAAAGCTCTTTCGACATGAACCACCTTCCAGAAGTTTTTTTTCCTGCAGAAGACCTCTGAACATTCTGAAGTATCTTGTCTAAAGAAGACCTCTAGAAACTCCCCTGATGTTAGCATACCTCTACAAGCTTTTCTGATTATACAAAGACCTTTAGAACCTCTTTTCAGTACTGAAGACCACTGAGATGTCTTCTTTCAAAATCTTCTACGTATACAAGACCTCCCTCCATGAGTAGCACATTTATATAGGGACTATGTCAAAACTTGCACCAATATGCCAGCGGGATTTGTTTCCTATATAAACCGAAATTTCAATCTACAGAAACTTATGGTGGAAAATACAGCTCGGAATATTAAAATACCTAAAATATATGGGGACCCGAAGGTATTTTATATTTTGAAACCCCCTGAACGTTTTAGAAGGCCAGTAGAAGTTTTCGTTTCACTACAAAGTCTTTAGGAGGTGCCTATATATTGGAGGACATTCGAATTGCCATCTACTTGGTGGCAGATAAATCTCTAGTAGATCTTCCGTTTGTAAAATACACAAAGCAAATTTTCTATTAAAAACCATTTCTATTAATTTCCTTCCTTTTCAATACCGTATCCATCTCCTCCACAGATTGGCGAAATTGAAAGCCATCGTCAGCGATCATCCAGCCAAGGAAATTGAAGTGAAAACCTCAGCCGGTGTTATGAAATTTGAGGGTATTTCCCGCAAGTTTACACGTAAACTTTATGAATGGGAAAAGGCCCGCGGTATTGGACCAGAATCATCAACATTCGCATTGCTGCATCCGGGCTATTGTCCCATCGATGTGAAACGCATTTCCAAGGAGACACACAATCGTAAGAGTCAGTTGTTGTTGTTTTATTATTTCCGAATATTTTTTTATTAACAATTGTCTGTTTGCACTTAGATGAAAATTCTCCTACCCTCAGCCGTTCCTTGTCATTGGACAGCATCTCGCCCAGTATTGCATTGCCTGTGATATCGCAGCAAGCTTCCAGTCTGTCATTGAACGATGTCAATGAGCTGAAAGAAATGGAAGGCGTTGTCAGCAGTACCGATGCCCTGGCCATTGATAGTGATTACAAGCGTTGTGATGAACCCGAAGCGGTTATGGTCGAAGTGGAGGATCATATTGTGGAGACAGCGTCGCCGTTGGTGGTGCCGCATGCCATGGGAAAGAAAGAGACTCCGGTCTATAAATACGAAGAGAAGGCTTGTAAAGATTTTTGGTAAGCGACAAGCAAATTTGAATACTTCGATGATTTTTTTTTTTTAATTTTTGTTTGGTTTTTCCAGTAATACAAGAAAAATACAAAGTTTCGAATCCCATACGAATATTGCCCCACTGTTGAATGTCTTGAAAAATTCCGAAGAATTATTGAAATTACTGAAAAAGAAATCACCAGAAATTGCGGAAAATACAGCGTTGCGGTTTTGTGAAAGCACTTTGGCTTTGATCCGCAGCAGTTACACATATTATTCGGCCAATTTGGTTAAGCCCAATGTTTTGAATGCCATATCGGATGTACAAAATGAATTGAGTCGTTTAAGGAGTTTGGTGAGTAGTTTTCCATACAGAATATATACTGGGAAATTTTAAGGGGTCCTTTAAAGACTCCTATGATAATATAGAGACCACTGGTCGCTATATAGACCAGTTGGTCGCTATATAGACCAATAGGTCGGTATAGAGACCATCGGTGTTTCGGTATAGAGACCAATTGGTCGGCACAGAGACCAATTGCCAAATAGACCAATTGTTCGGTATAAAGACCACTGGTCGCTATATAGTCCAGTTGGTCGGTATAGAGACTAACGGTCTTTATAGAGATGGGTCGGTACAGAGACCACGGGTCTTTATAGAAACCAATTGGTCGGTATAGAGACCTGCGTTCTTTATAGAGACCAATTGGTCGGTATAGAGACCACCGGTTTTTAAAGGTACCAATAGGTACCAATAGAGACCAACGGTCTTTAAAGAGACCAATTTGTCGGTATAGAGGCCAATTGGTCGGTATTGAGACCACTGGTCGCTATGTAGACCAGTTGGTCGGTAACGGTCTTTATAGAGACTAATTTGTCGGTATAGAGACCACCAGTCTTTATAGAGACCAATTGGGCTATATAAAGACCACTGGTCGCTATATAGACCAATTCGTCTCTATACAGCCCAATTGATCGGTATAGAGACCACCGGTCTTTATAGAGTCCAATTGGCTGGTATAGGGACCACCGGTCTTTATAAAGACCAATTGGTCGGTATAGAGAACACCGGTCTTTAAAGAGACCAATTGGTCGGTATAGAGGCCAATTGGTCGGTATAGAGGCCAATTGGTCGGTATAGAGACGACCGGTCTTTAAAGAGACCAATTGGTCGGTGAAGATACCACCGGTTTGTATTGAGACCAATTGGTCGGTGTAGAGACCATCGGTCTATATAACTCCTATTGTTCTATAATACAATTTTGGGTTTCTTCTAATTTTGTAGAGCGAAAAGAGCCCTTTGGATGAGGCCTGCTGCCAGGAGCTAATGGAGGAACGTAACGCCGAATACAATGAAGAATTTGAAGGCTTACATGAAACCTTGGATATTCTAAAGCAAAATATACGTGAGTACAATAACAACAATCCAAAACAATTTTTTCATATTGCCCACCTCTTCGATTTTCAGAAGGTGGCATGCCACGCTATTCCAAAGACATTGTCCCCGATATCAATATTATTTCCGAAGAAGGTTTTAATTCTTCATCATTTATACCTTCGGGCGATAATCGCAATGATAATCTCTCAACAACATTAGAAGCCACCGATGAATTGAGTACCTCAATGGTGGAAAATGATACCGAAGGTCCCAGACCAAGTCTCACTGCCTTTACAAATGAAAATTCTCCAATGGCCTTCGTTGGTGGTGGCGCAGGAGTAATGCGTTTTGTTAACGCCAATTGTAGCGGTAATGGCGGAAATACAAATGGAAATAGTAATGGTACGGTCAATAGTACCATTGGTACGAAGAAAAAGATACGCCTACGTAAAATGGGTTCCCGGCAGAATAGTAAAACCGAAAGTGATAGCAGTGATGAGGATAATTTAAATGTCTTAGAGACTCCACGACGTTTAAAGCGGAAAAATTATCGCCTTAAACAAAGATCCTTCGATGAGGATCCCAGTTCGACCACCATTGCCGAAGAGGTGGGAGAACAGCTGCTCAAAAATATGGAACCAGTGAAAACGCCCCGGCCCATGAGTCTGCCATTGTCCGCATCGACATCATTGCCAAGTGTATTTGTGAAGACGAAAAGAAAAGTCTTCACTACGGTGCAGGAACCCACAGCCATAGATGGTTTGGCGGTAATCGAGCAAGAGGTTGTTCACTCACCCACTGAGGAGAAACCCACCACCAAAACCACAGAGCCCCTTAGGGAAGCAACACAAAAACCCAAACTTCAACGTGATGATACCTTGAAAGCCAGCGACAATCCTGAGGACCTAATTTCCAATATGCCCAATGAAATTAAGCCACGCCTGCTGTTGGTCCACAAGTCGATTAGCCTGGAAGATATGCGCAGCGAAATGGATTTTGAAGATAAACGAAAATCGCACAGTATGGAGAGCCTCAAGAAATCCGATAAACACTGGAATCCCAAAGAACCCCGAGCCCCTCTGGCCTCGGATAGTTTTCGTAAAATAAGTCGAAGTGTGGAGAATCCCTTGAGGCTATCAAATATTTCCAAATTCCAAGCCCTATTGGGTACAAACAAAAAACGCGACCATCTCTTTAAGAAGCATGGCGATAATCGACCGTCTATACCTCATCCCGGGGCGGCCAATAGAGGGGCCACCGCAAAGAAGATTGAAAACAAAATTGCCAAAACTCAATCCAGCCCCTATGTCAGCGATGCGGAAAGCAGCGCAGCGAAATTTCTTTCCCCCGATAAATTTGACAATACCATGCCGAGAATTGCCCGCAAATGGGATCGTAAGTCGCTTACGCCCACAACACAACAAATAAAATTCGATTTTCCACCACCGAATATATCCGAACCCACTACACCAGTATTTGAACAATATAATCGTCCGCTGACGCCCCTGACGCAAAGGGCGCTGCGTTTGCAAAAAGCCAAAGAGGAATTTTTACGGGCCAAACCCAGCCCGAAGGCTGTGGTGAAGTTGCGTGAAAGTACTCCCCGAAGTGATACGTGGTTTGAGAATCGCCAAAGTGATTTGAGTTTAAGTTCCACCACCGCGGACGAGGCTTCCCTGCAGGGTGATACGATGACATCCCATGAATCAGATTTACACAAAAGTCTCAGCGCCGACACAATACGTGCCGAATCACCGCCCAATTTATCGGATGCTGGTACAGATCAAGATTTTGGTGGCATCTATGATTCGTTGCCACGTCAGGTCACGCGATCGGGTAAAATTTCCAGTAAATTGGGATTTGCCACATTGGCTTCGAAATTGCGTAAAGTTAAGGGTAAATCGAAATCCAAAGAACCGAAAAGGTCAGTGGCGGGTGCAATGGCCGGTGGTACTGCTGCTGCACCTGGAGGTAGTGCATTATCCGCCCTGTGTCGTCAAAGTCTGTTGGCCGACATAATTGCGGTACCTCAACAAATGGTGGCATCTGGGGAAAGTTCACGCAAAAGTAGTCTATCCAAGCCACCATCTCCCCTCTTGCTCACCAAAGATAATGTTCGAAAATCACAATCCTCGCCACATGCAGCATATAGAGGAGGTGGAGGAGGGGTAGGTGCTAGCACCACAGCTGGTGGTGTACATGATTTGGGACGTCCACCCGTCCATAAGTCACAAAGTGAACAGTATGTTAAACGTCACAAAGAGAGTTATGTCTAGTCAGTGTTAAAATAAAAAAGTGAATAAAATTTAAGAGAAATATTAATTCAAATTACACACACACACTTAAATATTAATTAATTTTTGTTATTTACATAAATATAAATACATGAAATTTTTTATGTAGTTTTTAAAGAATTTTTACAAATCAAATTGTTTTCATTTTTTTTTTCTTCTTCCAAAAAAAGCCATCGAAAATCAAAGCCAAATATTTTATTGTAAATTTTATGATTTTGTTGTTTATTAACATATTATAATTATTTATTTATCCATTTTTATAATAAACGACAAAAAAAATATAATTTTTCTAATTTTATTTCATAAGCAGATGGGATTTGTTGTGAGTAGATTAGGTTATACTCATCATGAGGTGACCAAAAAAAGAGGATGGGGGGATGTCTGCCTTAAGTCAATTTGCTGCTATGAGAAAAATAAATGCCACGCCAAAGACAATCAGGTTGACTTTGAAAATACCGAAAACGTCGACTTACTTACTTAGATGGCTTGTTACAGAACGGTTGTTCCATAAGCCCAGCTTAAAAAAGATTTCCAAGCGCGTCGGTCTTGTGCACAAGTCCACCAATTTCGAAGACCACGATCCAAGATGTTGTTTTCTACTTGGTCTTCCCCTTCTACGGGAACCATCAGTAGGCTCGTTTTTATATGCCTTTTGGGCTGGGGCATTTTCATTCATCCGCACAACATGGCTAGACACCGTAGTCGCTGCAGCTCAATACGACTGACTATGTCGATGTCCGCGTATAAATTGTAAAGCTCGTGGTTCATTCGACGCCGATATTCACCGTCGACGCAAATCGGCCCGTAGATATTTCGGAGAATTTTTCTCTCAAACACCCCAAGAGCTGACTCATCTGCTTGCGCAAATACCCATGCTTCTGATCCATATAATAGTTTTTATATAGTTTTTAACTACCTCGAAGCTGTGTATAGACAAAAATGTCAATAACTTAGCGGAAGCAATAGTAAAGTCCTTCGAAGAAAGTTGTCCTCTTCGAGAAAGGAAATCTGCCTTCGAAAAACCCTGGATGACCGGGGAGATTCGAAATAAAGGGAAAGAGGTCCGAAAACTTTACAATAGAGCACGCCGCAAGAAATCTACAGTATACTGGGACAACTTCCACGATAAGCAGAAAGAATATAATAAAATGACAAGAACCGCCAAACGCAACTCCTGGAAAACCTTCTGTGAACAGGTCGATAGCGTAAACGACGTCTCAAAAATAAAAAAGTTTCTGTCAAAAACCCACACTCAAGCCGAAACGATGGTAGACAGTGAGGGCAACAGGATAGAAACAATAAGGTTTCTGATGAACGCTCACTTCCCACCGAACCCATCCATAAGTGATGACGCTACGGTAGCAAGTGAAACAAGAGCTGTGGAACCTAAGATTGATGAATCAATGGTACGAGATGCTATAAAGAGCTTCTCACCATATAAAGCGGCAGGGCCAGACAACGTCTTCCCTGCTCTTTTACAAAAAGAGGTCGACTATATATCACCATATTTAGCGGCACTCTTTAATGCATGTATAAGGTTTGCGTACACACCAAAAGCTTGGCAGGAAGCCAGGGTAGTCTTCATACCCAAACCCGGCAAGGCAAACTACGCAACACCAAAAGCGTATAGGCCAATTAGCCTTACTTCATTTCTACTCAAAACCATGGAACGAACAATCGACACCATGATAAAGAGCAGCATCCCCAATGACACGCTGAAATACAAACAACATGCGTACGTAAAGGGGAGATCAGTGGAAACCGCTTTATATGAGGTAGTACACCACATCGAAGGAACTTTCGATAAGAAAATGTACACTTTAGCAGTCTGCATTGACATCGAAGGAGCCTTTAATAATGTCAGCACCGAAACACTTATCCAATCCTTAGAAGCCTTTAGTGTTGACCAGGCAATTATAGACTGGGTCAACCATATGCTAAGGAATAGATGGATAAACTGTAGCCTACAAGACATAACTATCAGGGACAAAGTAGGACAAGGGACACCGCAAGGAGGGATACTGTCACCACTCCTGTGGGTCACCACTATCAGTAGTCTCTTAAGGAACTTAACCGAAGATGGTTTTGAACCAGTCTGTTATGCAGACGACGTTATAATACTTCTAAGGGGAAGGAACCCTAACTTACTATGCAGGAAGGCTGAAACGGCGTTAAACATCGCCTTTAATTGGGCGAAGCCGAGGGGTCTAAACGTAAATCCGGACAAAACGTAAATATGTCTCTTCACTAGAAAGACAAAAAGAGGACAGTATGAAGAACCAATCTTTCAAAACAAAGTGATAGCAATATCAAATAAAGTCAAATATCTAGGTGTCATCCTAGATAGAAAACTTAGATGGAAAGACCACATACATCAACGGGTCGAAAAGGCCCATAGATGCTGGTCTTTCTGTAGAAGAGCCGTGGGCTCTAAATGGGGATTCAACCCAAAGATGGTACACTGGATCTACAAGAGCGTTATTAGGCCAATTCTAACTTACGCGTCTGTAGTCTGGTGGACAGCAATAGACAAAAAATGTAATGTAATAACATTACAGAAAGGCCAAAGAACTTGTTGTCTAGGCATATGCGGGGCAATGCGGACAACACCAACTAGGGCACTGGAAACTATACTGCATATACACCCAGTTGACATCCAAATAAAATACGAAGCGGCCATCGCAGCTTTAAGACTTAAAGCCATGAACGAGTGGATCGAAAACGGACACTACACACCGCACGAAAACATACTGCAGGCTACGATCGGATACTCAATTAACCACTTTGAGTCAGATCGAATACCTGAAACAAGAGCAATCACGTTGTGTGAAATCCTGATACCGGACAGAGACTCATGGAGCAGCGGAACACTAGCTCATATGCCTCCGGGGAACTGTTGTTACACGGATGGCTCCCGGCTAGCGGGAAAGACGGTACTGGGACTCTTTATTGAAGAACCGGGGACTGAAATCTCACTTCTAAGCAGACTGATAGACATTCTCACAGGACACCTTAACCTGCAGTCACATTTACACAAGATTGGGTGTTCGGAAAACAGCAGGTGCAGAGCGTGTGGGGAAGCAACGAAACGTTGGAACATTTTCTATGCCACTGCACAGCTTTTGCATTCATCCGAACCCAATTCTTGTAAACCGACACTATTCCTGAACTTAATGACCTAAGGGGGTGTGAATGGAAAATACTAAAGGACTTCTGTAAAAACACAGAATTCCTAGAATAATAGGGAGAACAAACAAAAGACTTAAGAATAATTCCAATCTAAATACCTTTCCTTCCTAGAGCGCACAACAGGCCTACTATGGCTTAAGTGTATGTCCCATAATGGACATGTGGTGGTTTTTTAAACCACCCCTCTTTTCAAACTAACTAACTAACCTCGAAGCTGTAGTTCTCAAGTTCTAAAGTTGGTCCGAGTCTACTGGACGTCTTGCGCGTTGATACCACCAGCTTGGTCTTCTCGTCATTTACTGCCAGACCCACTTGGGCAGATTCCTTTTCAATTTGTTCAAAGGTGGCTGTTACCGCTCGCAATGTTCGACCCATTATGTCGATGTCATCGGCGTAGGCGAGTAACATGTGTTGTATGGTGTACAGAGTGCCATTTCTGTTCCCCTTTGCGTCTCGTATGACCTTTTCCACGACAAAAAGATCACATGATAAACAGTCACCTTTTCTGAATCCTCGTTCGGTATTGAAGGGCTCCGATAGGTTATTTCCTACTTTAACTGCTGACCTTGTGCCACTTAATGTTATCCTGCATAGCCGTGTTAATTTTGCAGGAATACCGAACGCAGACATGGCTTTATAGTCGACAAATAGGTGGTATGTGTCTATGTGCTTTTCGTGGGTCTCTTCCAGGATTTGGCGCAGAGTGAAAATCTGGTCAATGGTGGATTTGCCAGGTCTGAAGCCACATTGGTATGGTCCGATGTTGTCATTGACCATTGGCTTCAATCGTTCACACAGCACACTGGATAGCACTTTATATGTGATGGGAGGGAGACTTATTCCTCTATAATTGGCACATATCGTCTTGTCTTTTGTGCACGGGAGACAGGATGCTGAGGTTCCAATCATTGGACATGCATTCAGCTAGCCAAATTGTGCTAATCAACTGGTGCATTCTCTTGACCAGCATCCACCAGGCCACCAGTCTTGAATAGTTCGGCTGGTAACCCATCGGCTCCTGCTGCTTTGTTGTTCTTGAGCCGATTAAATGCTTTTATGACCTCATCTAGGCTAGGTGTTATACACTCTATACCATCATCTCTTATTGGTTCTGGGGTATCTTATTGATCGCCACTATTTGATACTAGAAGCTTTTCGAAATGCTCCTTCCAGATCCTCAACACGCTGTCTGTATCTGTCACCGGGCCTCCTTCTTCATCTCTACAGGAGGATGTGCCTGCACCAAAGCCTTCGGTTTGGTGTTTTACTCGTTGGTAAAATTTCCGGACTTCATTCTGACTGACATCTCGATTTGCCCACGCTCACGTTTTTTTTTGTTCTTTCTTCTTTTTTCTGAAAACACGTTTCTCCTCTCTCCTTTTCTCCCAATAATTCTCCATCAAGTTACGTGTTGCTACTGACTGCGGGGTTGCCCTATACGCTGCGTTTTTCACATCAGTAGCATTACGACACTCCTGATCGTACCATGGGTTTCTTGGTGGTGGTTTTTGGTACCCAATTGTTCCTTTTGCTGCAGTTTGTAGGGAGTGGGCGATTCTTTGCCATTGTGCTTCTATACTATTATCGGAACAAGAAGTGTTTTCTTCAAGCAGATGGGTAAGTTGAGCGGAATAGGCCTCGGCTACCTGTTGTGTTTGCAGCTTTTCGACGTCGAGTTTCCGTGTTGCATTAGATCGCACCTTTGTTGCAACATTAAGACGGGTGCGTACCTTGGCTGCCACAAGGTAATGGTCCGAATCGATATTCGCTCCTCGGATCGATCGGACGTCTAAAACACTGGATGAATGCCCTCCGTCTATCACAACATGATCAATTTGGTTTCTCGTTACTTGATCAGGAGATATCCAGGTTGCCTTGTGTATATCGAGATGCTTGAATCTGGTGCTGCTAACTACCATGTTTTTTGCTGCCGCGAAGTCAATCAACCTCATGCCGTTGTCGGATGTTTCTTCATGAAGGCTGAATTTTCCGACAGTGGGGCCAAAGATATTTTCCCTTCCGATTTTTGCATTAAAATCTCCTAGCAGAATTTTAATGTCATGGCCAGGGCAACGGTCATATGCTGTTTCTAGGCGTTCGTAAAATATGTCGTTGGTCTGTTCATCTTTATCTCCGGTCGGAGCATGGGCGCAAATGAGACTGATGTAGAAGAACTTCGCTTTTATAGGGATTATAGCAATTCGCTCATCTACTGGAGTGAATCTGGAGATAAGGTCTTTTATTCTCCTGTTAACCATAAATCCGCAGCCAAATTCATGTCTCGTTTCATGGCAGCTATAATACAGGGCGTAATCGTCTGATTTACTTACGCCCGTCCCTTTCCATCGCATTTCCTGTAAGGCAATAATATCGGCTTTGTACTTCTTGAGTATATCCGCCAAAGCGAACACTGCGCCTGCTCTGTAAAACGTGCTCACATTCCAAGTGCAGATTCGCAGATCGTGGTCCTTTATACGTTTGCGGGGGTCAACATTAGGGGGTTTGGTTTTCTTTTTCTTAGCTTTTTCATAGTAGGTTGGGTTTTCCGAGAGTGGGCAACTAACCCGACGCCTCAACCCATTTTTTCATAATTCTTATGGGTGAACTCGTGGCACACATTAGCTCACTATTTCATAGTGGGTGATGAGAATAGCTCCTCAGGTGGCACCGCGTGGAGGTCAGTGTCCACAATTGAGATGAAAGAGGGACCAAGATAAGCCTGGACTTCGCCATGTTAAAGCCAATCAGAGCCGTTGCTTGGTATCTATCATCCCCTACGCCACCCACCGAAAACTTCGAGAGGCAGATAAAAAATTGAAATATTGATTTTTTTGATACCCAATTCGATTGAATAACGTGGCCAAAAATTTCCAAAATGCAGAAATTGGTTGTTATTGTAGCAGCTTCCACTGGTGAGAGTTTTTAACTCGAAGTTCAAAAAACCTGCGACCTGCACCGGTTGTGTCTAAAGTGAAGATGCAGAAGTTGAATAGATTTTGCTTGGCAGTTGAAGAGCTACAGCGTGTCATGTGGACTATTAACACATGCCGGGCAGATATTGTCCACTGTGTCAGTTATTCGTGCTCAAGACAAACTTAGGCGTCCACACTATCCATATATCGTCTCAAGACCACTCAGGTTTGTCGTGGTAGTTGCAGCTCTTATGCTGATATCTGTGGCGTGTTTTCGTCGAGGATTCTATTCACACTGTACTCTCGTATTGCTACATCAACTACACAACCCAAGCAGATATTACATCGACAACATCTTGATGTATAGACCCACAGGATATTCGTATTCTCATGTAAGTGAACATACAACCAATCCGCAGGGCGGCATTCTGAAATGATTGAATATTTGTCCATTGTATTACACTAACGTTGCGGACAGTGTGGTTACCTAGTTAAGTGGGTACATTAGTTAATACATAGCGTGAATCAATGCAGGTACAAATCGATCACACGTGATCACCTCCTTGGATGAGGAGCGGAGACCATCTAAAACTCCTGTCTTTCCTTGGGTCAGACACCCGGTTGTAATGCAACTCCACTCCGAGCCAAAGCTCTACCAGCGATTTGGGTATAAACCACCTCCAGCACGATGATCCCCAAAAGGCCAACGCCAACTACCAGGCCAAACCTGCAAACCTATTCGCCCTGATACTCGAAACTTTCGGTCAGGTTCATAGCCGAAGCTATTACCAGTAGAACCCCAAGCAGTTCGAGACAACTCACCCACAGACTATAGCCTTTACCAGGCTTCATAGCCAAAGCTACTATCATTCGAACTAATATTTGCAGGCTCTCTACAATGAAACACTCTCTGAAAGGGGATAAAAAGCAAAAGTTTTGTACAAGGTCTCTTTATGAGCTTCTCAAGTGCTGCCGGTTAGCGACTTGAGAACTTTGTTGCTGCTCTTGATATTATCGCAAACAGCTATGGCATTCGTGGACGACTTATACAGGCTATGGAATGTGACCCCTAGAACCTTGGGGTAATTAGTTGTCGGAAATGTGGACCCATCAAAGGTAGTTGCATCTCCGCTGTCCATGTGGTTAACAATGTAGCCGTTGATTTAGCGTCGGATATTTCTATATTTCTCGTGCGGGAAAACTCAGCTATATCCATGAGATGTTCTCGCAAATGTAATCTATTTTATCAATACACGTACGTAATGATTGTTATGTCGTTCGGTGAGCGTCTAACATCAGATATATTCCGGAGATATCACCTCTCCTTGGGAACTCCCTGTTAAACTCTACGGACCTTATTTTTTCATACACACACACACGCACACATAATTCACGATCCAAAGTTTCAAACTTGGCTCGTGAACTATGTTGTTCGTTCGACAGCATGGCATGACTGACGATATAAAATGGTTTTTATAAACCAGCACAAACATAATTGTCCTATTACACGGTGTGTTCTGGTTGCAATGCCTCAAGAGTCTTCGGCCAGTAAGATTCCCCTTTGGTGGTATCTTGCCTGGCTTCAGTAGTGGCACCACCCTGACCAATTTCAAGGCTTCGCAAACTATTAGGTTGGCTAGGAAAAAAATAGGGATTTCGGCTAGGAACTCTACTCCTGGCTCATCTAGCTACTTCAACATCGCCATCATAGAGATTTGCGCTTCTGATGACTTCTAAAGACATCTTATAATCCGCAATACTATTCTCCGCTCCCTGTCGTTCTTGGGATACTCTACAAATTGCCGTTTTAAATAAATCGCGCACCGGTCATAACTCGGAGCTGTCATCTCAATGACGATTATTTTTCCGTCCGTTCAAAAATGTTGCTGAAATTTTGTATCGATTTGTATTATCTGCAGGCAGGCCAAGTTCGAAGATGGGATGTATCGGTTGGGGTTATTGAGCGCGTTCTTCAACCAAATTCGCTGAAATTTGATACATTGGGTTCTTATTGGGTACCACAAAACAATTATAAATATAGGTCCACTTTTTCTGTACCCTTTCTGGGGTAGTCCCCATATAACCTCCTTTGTATACCCTCCACCATAGTATGGAGGGTATATTAGTTTTGTCATCCAGTTTGTAACTCATCGAAATATTCATTTCCGACCACATAAAGTCTATATATTCTTGATTAGGGTAAAGTTCTAAGATGATCTACCCATGTCCGTCCGTCCGTCTGTTGTAATCACGTCTGTTGTAATCTTCTGAAGGAATTGAGATAGGGTGCTGAAATTTTGCATAGGTTTTTCTTTTTTCTGCAGGCAGGTCAAGTTTGAAGATTGGATATATCGGTCCACGTTTAGGCATAGCTTCCATATAAGGGTACCCCATAAATTTCGGTATTTTGGGGTTATTGAGCGCATTCTTCAACCAAATTCGCTAAAATTTGATACATTGGGTTCTTATTGGGCACTAAATTTCTCAAAAAAAAAAAAATTATAAATATAGGTCCACTTTATCTGCTGGCCCCATTCAACGGTACCGCCTACTTTTCAGTATTTTGGGGGGTTTTAATCGTATTTTTCCAACGTATTTTTTTCTCTCCACAAAAAAATTATGAATATAGATAGCCCTCATATAAGGATATTTTGGGGTTCTTGAGCGCGTTTTTCAACCGAATTAAATGGTAACAAATCTCCCTACCAACAATTAATAATATTCCCCCATTTTCTGGGGTAGTTCCCATATAACCCCCTTTTTAATTAAAATATATATCTGATTTGTTCCGCGTTTTGGGTTTGGTTCTATAGCCCGCATTTAGGTCTATAGCCCTAGCCACTGTGTGGGAGGTACCAGAAGGAGTGGATAGATGTTCTCAATCTTCGAACTTGAACTAAGTTTTGAAGAAATAATAAGAAAGGCAAAGTTTGGATAAAATCTACATTTTCTGAAACGGATTTGGTACAAAGAAATATGGGGTCGAGAACCAATATTTCGATGAGGCACATTTTCACCGTGTTGATAAATCAAATTTTCCATTGATACCAACTGCAATTATCCTCAATGCCGATTTTATCATACATCCATCCGATTTGATTTTACTTCGACAACGAAGGTATATCCTCAACTCCCACTACATTGTTTTACAAAAACTTCCCATGCTTATCAATTCTGAAATTTATGTTTGAATAAATACATTAACACAAACAACAACTAATATTTTATATTTAACTACTGTTACCGTTCAGATTAAACCAAATTAAGCTAATCTAACCGAAGATAACCACAAATATCGGCGATAACGTCTTTATTGCTCCCAATGGGGTGGTAGTGGTTGGGCGATAAAGAAATTATAAAAAAAAACACTGGCCGATCAACAAGCTATTGAAATTGAAAGAGTTTGCTCCCCTTGCAATCTAATCGTTCGAAAATAGTTCGCTAACACACTTCAAGGTGTGCGGATCAAAAGATAGGTGGAAGGGATAACGAACGATTGGAAAAAAATAAAAACCGCAAATATGCAATTTTGCAAAGGATTATTTCTAGTGATGACATTAATATGTGTAAGTAGCCTACCATCGGAATTATTTCAAAAGAAGTACAAATAAGGGTTTCCGAGACTAGAGTCTAAATTTTTTATAGAAAAAAAAACGCCGAGACAAGGGCCTCAGCTTTTTTATAAGAGAAATAGGGAGGCCAAGGTCTCAGATTTTTTCAATAAAAAAATCACCGAGACAAGGGTCTCAGATTTTTGCTCTATGAAATAAATCACCAAGACAAGGGTCTCCGATTTTTTTCTTTGAAAAAAAAAAATCACCGAGACATGGGTCTCAGATTCTTTTCTTTGAAAAAAAATCGCCGAGACAAGGGTCTCAGATTTTTTTCTTTGAAAAAAATCACCGAGACAAGGGTCTCCAATTTTTTTTCTATAAAAAATACGTAGGAAAAGGTCTCAATTTTTTTTCTATAAAAAACAAGAGTCTCAGATTTTGTCGGAAGAAAAAACATAAGGGCCTCAGAATTTTTTCTATAGAAAAGAGACAAGAGTCTAAAATTCTTTTCTATATAAAAAATACGGAGGCAAGGGTCTCAGATTATTTTCAAATAAAAAAATCACCTAGAAACATGTTGCTGATTTTTTAATGAAAAAAAAATCACCGAGACAGGGGTTTTAGTTTTTCCTTTCTATAGAAAAAAATCACCGAGAAAAATGTCTTTGAAGAGTCTCAGAATTTTTTCTATAGAAAAAAGTCACTGAGCCATGTGTCTCAGAATTTTTTCTATAGAAAAAAGTCACTGAGCCATGGGCCATGGGTCACTATAGAAAAAAGTCACTGAGTTATGGATCTCAGAATTTTCTATAGAATAAAAGTCCCTGAGCCATGTTTCTCAGATTTTTTTCTATAGAAAAAAGTCATTGGTTCCGTGGTTCTAATAGTTTTTTGTATAGAAAAAAAGTCACTGAGCCATGGGTCTTAGAATTTTTTCTATAGAAAAAAAAATCACCGAATCTCAGAACTTGTTCTCTTTACCTTGATGATCCCCACATCTAATAACTACTCTACTTCTACTTACAGCTATCACACACATCGTTTGCCTTCAAGGAAATCATTGGCATGTTGGACAACAATCATGAATTGAAACGTGAAGAAGTAAATGCACTCCGTCCTCTATTCGAAGAATTACAACGTCAATATGACTTCATTATGGCCGAATTCCAAAAGGATGGCAACAAAGTCGATGCCAAGTTCGGTGAAGTGTATGAGGCCACTGTTAAGGATTTCCAAGAACAATTTGCCTCACTTATGCAGGAGGAGGCTACCACCGTCTATGACACCTCACTTCCCACCGTTGAAGAAATAATGGGAAAGCCTGATTTTACACAAATGACTCCAGAACAAATTAATGAATATCTAGATTTGCAATCGATTCTCCAGGATATGTTGGATGAGACCCAAGAGAGTCTCAACGATTTGGTCAGCCGGGCCTTGCAATTGGAAAGTAATTTATTGAAAATCAATAAACCCAAAATCATTATGGCCATTTTGAATGCTTTGGGTACAATGTACAAGGTGGCGGGACGTGTTGGAAGAGCGTCATACTGTACCTATTCGCATGTACCACAATTGAATGCCTCGTTGCATCATGTCTATGATGGTGTGGATTGTTATCTCTTTACCACAAAAATGATTGTCGCAATTCAAAATGAAACATACGATACCGTAAAGGTGGTGCGAAAAACCATATCCGATTTGGCTTCCGTTTACAAAAAAGTGGCCAGTAAAAACACAATTATGGGTAAAATTGTTTCGATGCTATTGAATTTGAAAAAGATTTTGTGGTCGGTGGGCTCAACATTGCGTCAAGCCAATCGTGTCATTGACGATATTGTCAACAAAATGCCAGATGCCACCGTGCATGTCTATGATTGTGGTACCACACTTGTGGACCGCCTACCTTTTGTGGTGGAATCTGTTGCCAATGTCACGGAATGCATTTTGTTTGTCGATGATTCGAAGCCGGATTATGGTTTCTTAGATCCTGAAGACTCAACACGCATTCCTGAACTATATCCTGATCCAGAGAGTGGTGAAGATATTGATGCCAGTTTTGAAATGCCTTGAAGTGAAGAGGAGGATTATTTGCTAAAGAGTTTTTAATGTTATAAAGTTGAAATACAGTTTTTGTATATAGGTTCTCTATTATTATTAGAGTGACGACGATTTTTTTTAAATATATATCCGATTAAGGAATACACAACTATTATTTTTGGATTCAGATAATTAAAAATTAATACCAAAATGGTGGCGATATGAACACCCAGCAAACTCGCTGATTTTGTTTCTTCGATGCTAAATTTAGTTAAAACAGGTAAAAATTACCAGAAGGAGTGAATCAATATCCTCTATATTTGAACTTAATTTATGTTTGAAAGATATAATACGATGTGCAAAGATTGGATGAAATTAAATACTCCATCATCATGCGCACCAGCCAGATTGACGGACATTTGTGAAACGACTCCAAACACTCAGAAAGGGAGTTAGTCCAAAAAATATTGATGAGGCACAATTCAATCTTAGCAAAGTATATATATCTTCATTAACCATGAGGCTGATAGTATGGACCTGTATTGCAAAATTTCTTGGAAAAAATGATTTGGCTCTTCGAGATCATGGTCCAATTTCTATTTGGCAAAATTTTCATTTTTCTAACATTTTGAAATCACTTCTTTATGAAGATGAAATAAATTGAGCACAATTAAGCACTACTAGTGGTTGTATAGAACTTCCACAACTTAGACTTCAAGCATATTCGATTATTCCCTGGTCTGTTGTAGCCTTTTCTATGTGATGGGACTGCCATCTATCGTAGCCTAGAAAAACACCCCATTAAATTTTGTGCTGTGGTTGATGTCCTTGCTTATTTAATGTTGACATTTTCCTCGGAGGCACTACCAAGATGCTTAAAACCGCATGCATATGAATTTTGTGCAGATTGGATCTTTGGCTGATGGTATGGACTATTGGTTGCATAGAACTTACACAGCTTACGCTTCAAAGCATCACCATCTTATTCGATTAGTCCCTGGTCTGATGTAGCCTTTCCTATGTAATGGGACTGTCATCTATCGTAGCCTATAAAAACACCCCATTGAATTTTTGCTGTGGTTGGGGTGCTTGCTTTTTTTGGGTTGCCATTTTCCTCAGGGGCGGCGCTATCTAGAAGCTTGGTCTGCGGCAGATGGGACTGTCATCTATTGTTCCTTAGAAAAAGCATGTTCATTAATTTGGTGCAGAGGATGGAGCCCTTGCTTATTTAGGGTTCAAATTTGGCTTGTGGGTAGTCTGTCCTAGAAAAGACGATGACATAACTTGAATTTTGTACTGTACGATGACTTGAATTTTGTACTGTGGTTGGGATCCTTGCCTTATTAGTGCTATCCTTTTTCCTTTGGGTGGCACTATCATCTATAGCCTGTTCTAGACTGACAACTATCGTTGCTTAGAAATAGCGTCTCCTTGAATTTGACGCAGTGGTTAGTGTCGTTGATTTCCCTTTGTCTTATCATTTGACTCTGGGGAACTCTATTTAGATGATTGGTCTGCTGTAACATGTTCTAGTCGATGAGGGTGTCATCTATTGTGTTGGTTAGAAAGACATTGGTACTCTTGCTTTTTGGGTATTGATTGGTGTCCTTGCTTATTTAGTGTTGACATGTACATACCTCTGGATGGGGCTATCATTTGATGTCTATATTCGGTGATGAGCCTGGCATCTATCGTTGCTAAGGAACAGTGCCTGCTTGAATCTGGTGCAGTGATTGGAGTCACTGATTTCCTTTAGTGTCATTATTTGCCTCTGTGTGTCGCTATCTAAATGATTGGACTGCTCTAGCCTGTCCTAGAATATGAGGCTGGCTTTTACCGTTGCTTTGCTGGATTATGAAAGAAAGGTTGTTCCACAAGCGGAGCTTAAAAAAATTTTTCAAAGAGCGTTGGTCCGACATTTTTTCTTCTTCGTGATCTTTCCATCGGATTCGTGGTCATCCCCTTCTGCGTGTACCATCACTTGGCTCGCTTTTATATGCATTTTGAGTGGGAGAATTATCATCCATTCTCACAACATGACCAAGCCAACGTAGTCGCTGCAGCTCGATCCTTCTGACTATGTCCATATCTAAGAATAATGATATATATAGATATCATATAGCTCATGGTTCATTCATTCTACGACGATATTCACCGTCGACGCGGATCGGTCCTTAGATCATCAGGAGCATTCTTCTCTCAAACACTCCAAGAGTTTCCTTATCTGCTTGCGCATTCATACAACAGCACGGGTAATACCTTGTAGAGTGTGAGTTTGGTCTGGCGAGAGGTGACCTTGCTTTTGAGTTGCTTATTCAGGTAAACACTATTCTCCTCCGGATTTCAAAGCTGATGTTATTAGTTTTGTTTATGGCGGTACCGATATATATATATATATATATATAAAATCGTTCACTAACTCGAAGCTGTAGGTTTCAAGTTCCACAGTTGGTCCGAGTCTACTGGGTCTTCTCGTCATTTAATGTCAGTCCGACTTTGGCAGACTCCTCAATTCGTTCAAAGGTGGCTGTTATCGCTCGCAGTGTTCGACCCATTATGTTGATATTGTCAGCGTAGGCAAGTAACATATGTTGTTTGGTGTACACAGTGTCATTACTGTTCACATTTGCATCTCGTATGACCTTTTCCAGCAGGATGTTAAACAGACCACACAATTAACTGTAACCTTCTCTGAACCCTCGTTCGGTATTGAAGGGCTCCGAGTAGTCCTTTCCGACTTTAAATGCTGATCTTGTGCCACTTAAAATTATCCCGCATAGCCGTATTAATTATCTAGGAATACCGAACGCAGACATGGCTCTAAACACATCTGAACGGATAGTGATGTCGAATGCGGCTTTATAGTCAACGAATAAGTGGCGGAGTGTGAAAATCTGGTCTATGGTGGATTTACCAGGTCTGAAGCCTTATTGGTATAATCCAATTATGTCATTGACCATTGACTTCAGTCGTTCACTCAACACGCAGGCACTTTTTGTGCGATGGGAAGGAGAATTAATCCTATATAATTGGCACAGTCTATATATTATTTTTACATATATCTGTCCCCTTTTTCTAAATTTTTTTGAGAAGAAAATTTTCAAATTTTTTATGGATTTGTGCACGGGACGCAGGGTGCTGAGGTTCCAATCATTGGGAATGCATTTCTCTAGCCAAATTGTACTAATTAGCTGGTGCATGCTCTTGAATAGTTCGGCTGGTAATCTATCGGCACCTGCTGCTTTATTTTTCTTCAGCCGATTAATTGCTATTCTGTCCTCATCATACAACTTATACCGTTATATCTTATTGGTTCTGGGGTATCTTCTTCACCGCTGCTATTGGATACCAGAAGCTTTTCAAAACGCTCCTTACAGATCCTTAACGGGCTGCCTGTAACTGTCACCAGGTTTCCATATTATCTGAACCAAAGCCTTCGGTTTGGTGTTTTACCCGTGTGTAAAATTTCCGGACTTCATTTCGACTCCTGAACATGTCGTCGCTTAGAAATAGTCTTATTGAATTTAGTGAAGCGGTTGGGGTCTATGATTATTTATTGGTCTAGGAGATGGGACTGCCATCTATTGTTGCTCAGTCACAGCGTCTTCCTGAATTTTGTGCAGCGGTTGAGCTTCTTGCTTCCCTTTTGTGTTATCATTTGCTTCTGGGTGGCGTTACCTAAATGATTGGTCTGTTGTTAATCTGGCCTAAGCGATAAGGCTGACATCTATCATGACTTAGAAACAGCATCTCCTTGAATTTTTGCAGTGATAGGGGTCATAGCGTATTAAGTGTTGACATTTGCCTATGAGTTGGCGCTATCATATGTAGCCTGTCCTAGGAAATGAGGTTGCCATCTGTTGTTGCTTAGAAAACAACGTCTCCTTAAATTTTGTGATATAGTTGATGTCCTTGCTTTGCCTTAGTGTTATCATTTGCCTCTGGGTGACGCTATTGTCTGTAACCTATCCTAAGAGATGAGGCTGTCATCTATTCCTCCAAGGCTGACTTCTACCGTTGCTTAGACATAAGTTAGGTTTGAGGATGTGCAGTCACATGTGTGACTGCAACACTCTGAGACCGGTTAGGTCCGTTGTGATCATCCACAAGAAGAAATACAGTGAAGAGAAGATACCAAAGACAGATCTTTAGGGGAGAGAAGATTAGTAAATTAAAGGAGTGAAGAATGATGGTCGATGCTGTAGACATTTTTTCAGTGGTTTGAGTCCTTACTTATTAAGTCTGTAGCCTGTCCTAGGAGATGAGGATGCCATCTGATGTTGTTTAGAAACAGCGTATCCTCACATGTTGTGTATTGGTGGGAGTCCTTATTTGCCTCTGGGTGCCGCTATTGTCTGTAATCTGTCCTAAGAGATGAAGCTGTCATATATTCCTTTTATAAACCGCACCTCCTTCAACGGTTTGTAGTGGTTGGGATCCTCGGGATTCCCTTTATGATAAATGATTGGTCTGTTTTTAACATGTCGTATAAGATACGGCTAACATCTATCGTTGCTTGGAAAGCGTTCCTCCTTGATTTTGTGCTTTGGTTGGTGTCCTTGCTTTGCTGTTGTGTTATCATTTGCCCATGGGTGGCGCTATTGTTTCTAATCTGTCCCAGGTGATGAGACTGCCATCTATTGTTGCCTAGAAATAACATATCTTTGAATTGTGAAGTGGTTGCTTATTTAGTACTGCAATTTTTCTCTGGATTGACACTACCTCCTGTCACTTATAATATGTATCCAAATTTGATTTTAAATCCAATTATCTGTTGATACGTCAATATTCAATCGAATAGCAAGGCAAACGTGCGGTTATTAAACATTTATGAATTGTTGTGAAACAATGGGGCAAATGTTCCTCCAAAGCTGTTATAAACAAACATTTTTATTCATTTATCTTTCTTTTTTCTGTTGCAACGAACACACACAAAAACATGCAACATTTCCTGAAACGTGCAAAATATCAAAATAGAAACAAGAAAAACACAATTTCTAAGGTTTCGAATCAATCTTTCTGAGGTAGATAGA